GTCGGCGAAAATGGCACCTCGTGTTTCCTACCTTGTATATTATTATTGTAGATAGAGTGAATTTGAACAAATTACTGCAAATTATCACGAAACTTCGTTGGAGCAATAAGGACAACAACAATTAACTGCAGAGTAAGTTTCATTGATCTTTATTTAGTATTTCCTAGAAATTTTAGGATGATATTTTTACCCCATACAAACACTGTAATTTTACTGGAACCGTACTGTGGTACTATCACAGAGCCTGGGTTACCTGTGGTTTCACCGCCCAACATTTATCCGCCCTGGTGTACGCGCTTGTGCAATAGCCTGTCACGTTAAAACATACACAACCTCATCACGCTTACGGTTTTATTTGGATCTGATCAACGCAAATGACGATCTCATTCCAGGTTTTTTTCATGGAACGCGTTTGAGATTGGCTTAAATTCGCGCTCGTTTCAAACTCCCTTTGCATGCGCTAAGCGTCTCGAATAGTGGGAGAAGACAGTTTAAAGGGACATTCAACACCATCGCAAGCAAAGCGAAGACAATCCCTGGAAGACAAAGAAAAAGGAAGCTCAGACAGCTTAATTTTTGTGCGGAAGAAGCTGTTGTATAATACGTTCTTGTGTTGCATGCTTGGGAAGAATGGCATCAACACCGATCAGTCTAGCTTACGTAAAGCGAGTGAACGCAACATCAAAGATAAATGCTGACAGTATCAACTTGGTCGCGGAGAGTGAACGCCCTGAACAAAATACTTTAAATGTGCAACACAGACCTTTCAAAAACACCTACAAACTCGAAGGAGGGATGATTTCGCGGGCATCTTTGCACGCGGCCAAGCTGTTTTTATTCTCTTCTTGAATGGATGGATCAGTATCAGATGGAAGGAACTAAAGTTTCGAACTACCCCTAATGGAAGATGACTCCGGTCTCCATAAAATCATCACCACAATGAGAGGTTGAAAGCGTTTCGTAGTATTTACAGTCTGATGTAAATAGTGAACGTTAAAGAAGTGTCCACCCTGCAAGAGGCAAGAGCTTGTGAATCATTTTTTGAAAAATTAAGCCTTGTGTGTAGTGTGTGAAACTGAGGAAAGGTTCTGAAAATATGCTATAGTTGTTTGCGAATCTCAGTACTACAGTTTTGTGTCCTTGTAAACAACATTTTTGCAAGCAGGAAGTTTGTTCTAGCCGTCCAGCTAAGGGCTATTACGTGCAGGGGCTTTAATCATGATAGACAACTTCTCTTATGTCAAACAGTGGAGGTATAATTAAGGGTAGAGGGTAGTAGGACAGGTGTGCTGCCAATGCTCACTATGGACAAAAATCTTTCTGATACACTAACGGTGGGCTATGGAATAGCATTCTCCAAGTCATTAGGGATGAAAGCAGCATCTCTGGTTTCTCATTTTCTTGTCATAGCCTTTAATAATCATACTGCCAATATTATTTTTGCAACATGCACTATCTGTAACCTGTGCCACAGACAGAACTGACAAAACTCGTACGGTCCGCCTGCAAAACAACTCCAAAATCCTTGCTCAAGGCCCCCACCTGGGTACCAGGATTTGAGTGCATGTCTTGTCAACTTGAGTCCATGGGAGGTTCTTAACCCTTTAAGCCCTAAGAGTAATCAGCATCAAGTTCTTCCTTGTAATATCAATGCGTTGTAAAACAGGGTGGTCATGAGAATTACAGACATGATCACACAAGATGAATTTGCTTGATATTTTATCAACAGTTACTTCTCCCCACTTCTTCAGGAGGAAATGAATAAGGACAACAAATGAGAATTCATATTTTGATCTTAGGCCAGGGTTTAAAGGGTTAACAAGGATATTGGTGCTCCTTTGCAGATGTTGCTAACTGTCCAATGTAATGTAGACCCTGTGTCCGATTGAGTAGTTACAAAAGTACGTATTTATTTCAATATTTCAACATGTTGCAAAATTCCAATCAAGAGTTTGGAGTCACCAAATTTCACCAAAAGAATTCGACAGCTCAGGCCAATATTTAATTATTAACCCTCCCCCCTTCCCCCCCCCCCCCCATCCTAGGTTCACACTTGTTTTCACTACTATCCTAATTTATTAACCTAATCTCCAGGTTGTTATTACACATGCGTCGCAGGTATGTAGCCAGCATTCATTCGGACTTTTACTAAGAACGAATGGAAAGCACGGACACAATTTGATCATGCGCGTTTGGACTTTCTATCACTCGTAATCTGATCATGCATGTTCTGACTATCTGACTATCTGTCACGTAAAACTTACGCAAAGTACAGCGATAGAGCAAAAGCATTTTGACCTTCGATAGTTGTCGCCCACACTCCGTAACCTTTGGTTGTTACTAGTATTAATACTAAAAAGTTTTTGAATCAGTGACAAACAGCATCTTGCATCCAATTGAAGTCACGGACAGAACCAACGTGTAAACAATAAACACTGATTACTGTTAGAACATGCATAATCTGGTGACTGTTGCCAATGTAATCGCACCTACCAGGAAACCACCTCTCTGGTATCCTGGCAACATTGAGTGTGCCACCAACGAAAGCCAGCAGATCCATGCAGAGGTAATGTGGGATGGGAGTAATGATGGTAGTCCAGTTGAAGGCATAAAGGGACAGCCGCACACAGATGAAAAAGTATCTCATTACACCAAATACTATTAAAGGCTTAAGCCTTTCCTTTGCACTATTTGCTTTCAGAATTAGGAAAATAGACAGCAAGGAAACTATGATGTATAATGTTAGAGAGAAGGTTCCCCAAAATGGCATACAATACAAAGTTGCTCGAATTCCGCAGAGACCACCAAATGCATTTATTACCCAAACTCCACAGACGTCGAAAGTAAGAAGCTTTTGATAAGTGTCACAACCTCCTTGATGGCACATAAATAAATGATAAATAGGACTTGCAAAGAATGGAGCAAAACAGGAAAAGAAATGAAAGAAAAACCACATTGGGTCTGCCAGACAAGCAGCACTTGCCGTTAGTGGAATCAGAACCAAGATAACAGCACATGGGATTCCTGCAACAAAAATGAAAGAATGAATCTAGTTTTAGCAGCAAAAGTGGAATAGGGCCTGTTTCAAACATCCTGCTACTGCTGCATTAAGCTCAATTGATCAAATTAGATGTGACTTACGCAAAGCAGTGGCCCAACGTTTAAAGGTTTTTGAAACCAAGTTATGCCACTGACGTGAAGCATGCCTTACGTCTTGAGTTAAATCTCTTCTTATAGGGCTAAGGGGTATAGAATGGTCTATCCAAAACAGGTGGGGCAAGGGGGGGGGGTCGGTCATCCAGACCTTGAGATAAGTGGGGGGCCCGACCTCAAAAAAAATATTTTCGGCAGTTCGGGCCTCATTTTGGTCTAAAAATAAGGGGGGAGGGGGCCTAGGCCCCTCCCCAGGATCCACCACTGGTCTCCCAAAACAAACAGAGTCTTGACATTTAGACATTTTTGGGATTAAGAATTTAATCCAGAAAAAATTGAAAATTATGTAGGTCTTCAATGTCATAAAACTTTTGATATAGCTATTGAAGTTCAAAGTAAGTGTTTTTCTGTTTTAGTGACTAACATCAGCTGAGACCTGCTAATTCTGTTGCAATTATCATTTCAAATTCGTGTCTTAATAGTTGCCAGTATTTAGGCGGTTTAGAGCCTGTGTTACGCTCAGGCTCCATTTTGTTTAAAAAGTTAAGTCCTCAGATGATTATAAATAACCCATTTTATTTCTATGACCCTTCTTGTGTTCCCAGGGATGGGAACCCTGTTCTTAATTTACAACGCCCGTGTTTTTAAATAAAACCAGCTGCATTTTACGGCTTCATGTTTACTTACCATGAGAATAAATATTAAAGCTTTCGTTATGAATGTAGAATAGGCTCTCTACACACTGACCAGTGGACAGATTGCATCGATATCCATTGAGAATGTATTTATTAAACTGCAACCACGGAGGACAAGATTCCAGCCGATGAAGCCTCGTGTTGTTGTCACTTTTTCTATTTTCCACAAAGTGGTTCAGTTTCTAAAATGATTTATGGGGGTCTCTTCCTGCATGCTTCCTGGTAGATTTTGGATCAGTTGTGAACTTCGAGGTGAATAAAAGGAGAAAATAAAAGTGAAAAGTTATGAACTAAAACAGCGAAAATCCGTCAACACGGGGAAAAGAACGAGAATTAGTAAAGATACCAACTTTGAACGTGATCTGTAGACAAATAACGAAGACATAATGCGAAAAGTCGCCGAATTTTACAAACGTTTGCCTTTGTTAATTTTCCTAATTTTAAGACGCCCTTTCCAGAAGAGCCAATGGACGGGTACTCACTAACTGCTCTTTATCAAAACTTAGTAAAAACAAACCGTGGAAGGGTATCATTCAGTAGAAAATAGAGGATGAAAATAGAATTCAAATGACAGAAATTTTGCCTCCTTAGAGTCGCGCCGAGTTTACTGTACTGTTTTAAATAGAAGAACTGACCTGTTGCGGCAAGTAGAAGTGCATAAAGAGGCTGGTACAATAATTTAAGAAGTGGATAATTCATATACAATACGTAATTAAAAATGTAGTTCGTTGGCGAGAAATGAAATGATACGTAGAACAGTAAAGAGAGTTTAGAAAAAACGAGAGTATCGGGGGCACCCAACCGGAATTTTTGGAAAATATCTGTTCGGAAGACGATTTGAGATCTAGAATTTCTTTCGGAACATTTGTTGTAAAATTTTGTTGCTTGTCTGCCTCTCCTAGGATTTTCAAACATCTAAAAAAAAACTGTATAATTGCCCATTTTTAACGGATTTTTTACCCTAAAAAGGTCACCTAGAATTTTCGGGAGCCTTTTTTCTGGCTGAAATTTTCGAAAAGGTAAGTTTTGATCCCTATAATTTTTGGATCAGTAGACTTTCAGCTAGGAAATCCGAACAGATGAAAAATTTTTAGGGGATAAAAATATGCCTATACCTACCGTTTAAATGCTAAAATACGTTCAACAATGCTATGTTTAAGTCGTTTTGAACTATATTCTCGTTGGGTGCTCCTGGTGTATTAGAATCAGTTCTTAAAGGGCTCACCAGAAACTGAAACAAGGTAATCCGTCCTTGAAGTAGGGTTGTTCCTTATTCAAAGTTCTGGATTGACTCTCAAAAAGTGAATGGCGGCCAGGGAGGAAATATAGCAATTAAGTATAGTGTGCGAGAGCGTGCAATGTTTTCATTGGTCGGAAACTAATCTCGTGCTTTCGTATCAGGTGGAGAATGTGTATCGCGTTTCCCATAGTTTTCTGCTTCGCTGGTGAATCAGTGGATTAGCTTTCTCCAGTATCGGCAAATAGAATTGGAAACCAGCACCTGAAGTAGGATAACGCGATCTCTTTTGTCAGCCTGACTGAGTAAGAAATTTATTTTAACTGCTAAAAATAAAAGCCAAACGTCTTGCCTACAAAAATACCTTTATTCGCACTTGAAGAAACGATAAATAAGAACAGGTTACGTAAGGATATTGGGTTGTTGCAATATTAACAGCGAAGTTACTGAAGCAAAGAGACCAAATGGAGTATCGACATAAGATACAGCAAAGTCACTGATGCAAAGGAAACTATCGCGGACATTTAGATATTGAATAAATTAAAAGTAAAGGAGATCGCTGCAGTCATGAAACGTGGTTGAAAAGATCACAAGTTGAATACAAAATATGAAATTTAGAAAGAAAAGAAACACATATCACTCTCTCTCTCCCTCGCATCTAGAAGCCGACCAAGAGAGGATAAGAGAGGGCACTCTCTATCCTCTATGGAAACTGAGTGGCATTGTGACGCTGATAAATGATTTTGGTTGAACCTAAAATTCATGACGATATTACTTGACTTGCTTAGAAGTATGATTTCTGATCCGGTAACTTGCAAATTCCGCCTGAACGTCCTAAACCCTTCGTTCCAGGTGGTCATTGTAGTCAGGGCAGTTGATTGAATTATTTACCTAGTTTCTATGTTTCCTTCGTCTGCTCTGTTCTGAAATTTATTCAAGCGCAGATGGTTTTTAATTCCCTGGGCCACCAGTTCATTCTTGGCCAGGCCAAAGATTTGCTTTAGGGCCACAAGAATATCAAATCCTAGCCACTTGAGTGGAGATTAATCGCAATTGATTGTGACTATTTCGTCAGCTACGTTCAATAGCCTAAGACCAGGCTCTTTAGTGGGGGAAAAAGCGAAGAACGTGGAGAGCGCGAAGGAAAATTAAAGGCCAAACGAGCTGGAGCTTGAGACGGGTTAGGGAAGGGATGTCACACAGCATATTCCCGCCCCTCAGTTCTTTGCTCGGCTCGCTTTAATTGTTTGCCGATTTTTGCTATATAGTCAGGCACGTGGTGAACTTTCTGCTAACATGCAAACAGTTCTTTTTGGACAATTCTTTTCAGCAGGATCGGAAATGAAATAGCATATAAAAATTAGGTATTTCAAAAGCAGCCTGAGCGAAGGGAACAGCCAGCCGAAAATTAGAAGGATTTCTCTTGCCACACAAACCCGACAAATCGTAAAATCTTTTCCTTAATCATTAGGGATTCAAATTTTCTGTTATGAACAGAAGAGCCGCGTAATGCGTAAGGGAAAGGGAAAATCTAGCTTGGGTCATTCATTATTTGATCGACTTATATTTTCATAATAGCTTTTAATTCGACTTATTTTTACCTTATCGTCTGTTATGCGCATATGAAAATATTTGTATTGTATATACGCAATATAAATTTAATATTTTTTATTATTATCATTATTATATCAGGCTATGCAAACACAGAAAACGTTTTCTATAGCTTATCAATGGTAGTGCTAATCATAAATGTGTTGTGGGCAGATGGGCCTATAACTGTGGGGAGGGGGAAGTGGCAGGTTAAAAATAGCAGGGTCTATAAACAGCAGTTTACAGTCATAGATTGGCTGACTAAGGGTGGATTCATTTGCCACATACGTGTATAGCTGTCACGTTTGCCTGCTGGAATTTTTATTGTTTCTAAGCCTAAAAATAATTTAAAAAATTCCAGTGGGCAACTGCGATAACTATACGCATATGCTGCAAATGAATGCACCCTAAATGACTGATTAATTGTGTCGTGGAAATATACCTGTTTTTACTATCTGTCACGTGAAACTTACTCAAAGTACAATGATAGAGCAAAAACATTTTGACCCTTCATCGATGTTGCCTGCAGCCCGTAACGTTTGCTTATTACTAGTATTAATACTAAAAAGTTTTTGAATCAGTGACAAACAGCATCTTGCATCCAATTGAAGTCACGGACAGAACCAACGTGTAAACAATAAACGCTGATTACTGTTAGAACATGCATAATCTGGTGACTGTTGCCAATATAATCGCACCTCCCAGGAAACCACCTCTCTGGTATCTTGGCAACGTTGAGTGTGCCACCAACGAAAGCCAGCAGATCCATGCAGAGGTAATATGGGATGGGAGTAATGATGGTAGTCCAGTTAAAGGCATAAAGGGACAGCCGCACACAGATGAAAAAGTATCTCATTACTCCAAATACTATTAAAGGCTTAAACCTTTCCTTTGCACTGTTTGCTTTCAGAATTAGGAAAATAGACAGCAAAGAAACTATCATGTAAAATGTCAGAGAGAAGGTTCCCCAAAATGGCATTGTTATGTTTCAACGAGCTTAAGGCGTCTCTGGTGGTTTACGTAAATAACGGGTCTGAGGTGTCTGCAGCTTTCACTCTTCGACAACTATTCACAGTGTTGGAGGAACTACCGTGTATTTATTTACTATTTTAGGACTTGCAAAGAATGGAGCAAAACAGGCAAAGAAATGAAAGAAAAACCACACTGGGTCTGCCAGACAAGCAGCACTTGCTGTCAGTGGAATCAGAACCAAGATAACAGCACATGGGATTCCTAAAATAAAAATGAAAGAATGAATCTAGTTTTAGCAGCAAAAGTGGAATAGGGCCTGTTTCAAACAACCTGCTACTGCTGCGCTAAGCTCAATTGATCTAATTAGATGTGACTTAAGCAAGGCAGTGGCACAACGTTTTTGAAACCATGTTGTGCCACTGACGTGAAGCATGCCTTACGTCTTGAGTTAAATCCCTTTTATAGGGCTATGGGGTATAGAATGGTCTTTCCAAAGCAGGTGACTCTCCAGTGGCGGATCCCGACCTTCAGATAAGGGAAGGGGGGAGGGGGGAAGGGCAGTCATCCAGACCCCGAGATAAGGGGGGGGCGGGGGCGGGCCTTTTTCGGCTCATCAGGCCATTAGGTCTAAAAATAAGGGGTGGCCGCGCCCCTCCCCTGGATCGGCTACTGGTCTCCCAACTCAAACAGAGTCTTTTTTGGCATTTAGAATTTATTCAAGTCTCAGAATCTCAAACTCACTAGAATATGGATCATCTTGAAAATTATATAGGTCTTCAATATCATAAAACTCTTGATATAGCTATTGAAGTTCAAAGTAAATGTTTTTCTGTTTTAGTGTCTAACATCAGCCGAGACCTGCTAATTTTCTTATGCATTTTGCATTTATCATTTCAAATTGTCTTAATAGTAATGCCAGTATTTAGAGTCTTATGCTCAGGCTTGATTTTTTTTAAAAAAGTTAAGTCCTTGGATGATTATAAATAACCCATTTTATTTCTATGCCCCTTCTTCAGCTTCTTGTGTGCCTGGCGATGGGAACCCTGGGCCCAGTTGTTCGAAGGCTGATTAGCGCTTAACCCGGGGTTAAATTTAACCCAGGTTTTTTTTCTTGTGTTCAAAAGCATTTTCTCTGATAATTTTCTTTGATATTTTTAGAGCTTCCAATCATCAACTTGTAGACAGAAAAACTAAAACTGAAATGCTTTTTAAGCTTTCAAATCTAAATTCAACTCTCTCACTAACCCTGGGTTATCTTAACACAGCTTTGAACAACTCGGCCCTGTTCTTAAGTTACAACGCCCGTACGGGNCCTGGCGATGGGAACCCTGGGCCCAGTTGTTCGAAGGCTGATTAGCGCTTAACCTGGGGTTAAATTTAACCCAGGTTTTTTTTTCTTGTGTTCAAAAGCATTTTCTCTGATAATTTTCTTTGATATTTTTAGAGCTTCCAATCATCAACTTGTAGACAGAAAAACTAAAACTGAAATGCTTTTTAAGCTTTCAAATCTAAATTCAACTCTCTCACTAACCCTGGGTTATCTTAACACAGCTTTGAACAACTCGGCCCTGTTCTTAAGTTACAACGCCCGTACGGGGGGTGACAACTCTAACAAGGCTGTTTGGGCAGTCCTATGAATAACTTCATGTCCTCCCGGAAATTCCGTCGACCATCCCGAATTTTTCGGAGGCATTCCCTATGAATGTTTTAACAATTACAATTAAAATTTTGATTAGAGATTTTTTGCAGCTTCTTGTTAATTATGTAACTTGTTAATTAACTAGCCTTAGTTATTTTTTCGTTTAGAGAGTATCACGTTAACACAGAAAGACTGTCAAACTTTTTAAGTATATAAAATCGTTTTTTTGTTGTTTTTTAATCACCGATGAATCAGGCGAGCAGTGAAGGGGCCAACTACTAGGGGGGTCTGGGGGCATGCTGCCCCAGAAAATTTTGAAATCTTGGTGCTCTGAAACGCCATTTCTAGTGTTCTGAGAGGACAAATTCTGTCCAAAATGTTCTCTAAATCAATTGTCCTTTTTATGCTTATTTTTATTGGCGTGACTTCGTGTAGAAGGAGTCAATTTTATTTTATACAAGTTGTGCGGTTTTTGAAATTGCTCTGGATATCACTTTCAGCTAAGTATACTCTGTGTGGTGTCATTGAATGAGTATCAAAAGAATTCATTTGAAAATTTCAGAACAACTGTCGAAATCTGAAATTTTCCTATCCTGAATGCATATTAATCGGGATTCGGGATTTTCGAGCAAAATCGGAAGGACCCTGACAAGATCAGGATGATTAAAGAGTCTTCACAGACATACTACATTTTATGGCCTCATTTGTGTTTAACAAGGTTAAATGAGTTTCGTTTTTTTCTTACACACTTCTTACGTACTTCTTTCAAGTTTTCAAGTATGCAATCAGTGGAATGTGCTCTCAAAACTCGTTAAGGTGCAGCGTAAAAATACCCCTGAGCTAATGAATGACAGGATCTGGTGTGAACTGAGGACTGCACGTGGTCAATCGCACTCGAACTTCATGCTATTTTAGTTGGAAACGTTGCTGATTGGTCTTTTCATATCATGGGGAGTTCAGCTGTTTTCAAGTGTCAAAATACATAGAATACAGCGCATACACTGGGTGCATATCACTTTATATATATTGTTTGATAACATGTAATATCAAATCTTTGCTCAATGTCCCGAAAATATCTCATATATCCCGAAAAAATTTCCCAGGTTTCCCGATTCCCGGCAAAATCTCCAGATTCCCGGAATAAATTTTTTTTTCTCCCGAAACAGCCCTTGTTAGAGCTGTCACCCCCCGTGCCCGTGTTTTTGAATACTGAAACCAGCTGCATTTTATGGCTTCATGTTTACTTACCATGAGAATAAATATTAAAGCTTTCGTTATGAATGTAGAATAGGCTCTCCACACACTGAGGAGTGGACAGATTGCATCGATATCCATTGAGAATGTATTTGTTAAACTGTAACCACGGAGGACAAGATTCCAGTCGCTGAAGCCTCGTGTTGTTGTCACTTTTTCTATTTTCCACAAAGTGATTGTTTCTAAAATGATTTCTGTGAGTCTCTTCCTGCATGCTTCCTGATAGATTTTGGACGAGTTCTGAATCTCGCGGCGAATTAAAGGAGAAAATAAAAGTGAAAAGTTATGAACTAAAACAGAAGAACTATTTCACAAACCTTAACAAACTAAACAAACTAACTCGAAGCCAGTGTCCAGTGGTTCTCAGATCTCCAGGGTTTCGTCTGCCCCTCTTGCAGTATGGGTAAAATCCAATATGGCTGCTACAGACGATGATTTGAGTGAATTTGAGAAAGACGCGCTTATTTCTAATATGATGAAGGAGAAAGCTAAAATTACCTGTGATTCGGCCGTGAAAGGTTGGTAGCTTTGTCGATAAGAAACATAGTAAAATAGGTTCGGTCATATTCCATAAAGAAAGACAGACCTGCCAACCCGCAAACTGAGGCAAAAAATGGGCTCATGCTCGGTGTAAAAACCTGTGAAACTCACGAGTGACGTGAAACAATGAACACAAAGAGGCCAATGAGAAGACAACACAATAGAGCCAAGGAAAGTAATAGCTAGAAAACAAAGAAAACTTCAAGGGTTTTTACACCGAGGTAAACCCCCAAAAATGTGAGATTATCCTGAGCCTGGAGCTGGGAAAAGTAGTGAGAAAAAGGTAAAACGTTGTGAGATGTTGAAGGACCTCCAGTTGGGATCACCTATCACTTTGATGCGAGAGCTGTAAACATCAGGTCAAGATCAATAAATTTACGATTAAGGTTTTGTAATTTCTATGTTTTGTTGGTGGCCATCTTGAAACAAGAGATTTAGGTCTGCACATTTGGTGGCAGTGGCAAGTTGTGGTAGGCTAAGATAATCTAATCAAATGTGACCACTAGCATTTTCTTTGGATTGAGCTGGCTATCTATTGATATCTGACTAGGAAACGAACCCTTCAACTCCAAAATATTTTTAGAGTTTGACCTTAAGAGAAACTGTAGGAAATCATTTGCCAACTCGTGAGAGCGTGAGATATAGCTCGTGAAATCAAAAGACTCAAGACAAAGTCATGAGACTTGTTAAGTCTGGAAAGACATGAAGCTTGCTGTATAAAAGACCGTTCCATATAATATCCTCACCCACCCCTGGCCCTAACCCCCCTGGAGGTACAATTGAATTCTACCGTAAGAAAAAAAGAGGAATTTTACCCATCAAAGTGCCGACACATTTGTTTATTTAGAGAGGGAAGTATTATTGGTCAAAGATACTGATGAAATTACCCTTTTGGAAAACCCACATAATTCTTCATGAGTATGAGTCTAAACCTATATTTTATGGAAGCCTTCAGGGGTTAATGCAATTTTATTTAATAGTCAGGGATAAGAAGAAAAGGTAATTCCTCAACAGGGGGGTGAGGTATGGATATTAAATGTAATAGCCCTACGACTCTTGAATCGATCTTGAAAACCTCCTCGCTTCCTTCTAGGAGTTCCCTGTACCTGAGAAATCTGACATTAATTTTAAAGTGTATATAAAAATAATGTACTTGTCACGTTCATGATATATTTGCTTGTTGTCATTTTTTTTCTAGCCTTTACAAAATGTGCACATCAGCGAACATTTTCTTTAGCATGGGCGTGTCGCAAAGAACACAAGGCCATGAAGGACTGCATGGAAAAATTGTAAGAAGTATACGTAATAACTAGTCTTTTTGGACTGAACACCTTTCAAAGACTACATTTTGTATTAGTTGGTTGTGTGTGCTTCAGTGTACAGTTCTGGTCTTGTTTACAAATTTTGTGGCACACTAATTGGTAAAACGTTGATCCCATCCCCATACGCTTGCCGAGAACTGCTTGCAGTTCCCAGCCAACAGCTACGACATGGGTACAGTGGAGCTTGCACTTAAAGGAGTGCTTTGCACTCGCCTCGGCAGTAAAGGCAGGGTCTGTGATCATTAGTGAGACCGTGCTGGCTATGCCATGCTGATGAGTCCTAACAAGGATGAAACAGCTGTCCATGGCTGCCACTGCCGAGGTGATATGGTTGTGCACATGAGTAAGGTACTGGCCATACTGCAGAGTTGGCAGTGTGTGCTTCAGTGTATAGTTGTGTAGTCCTAGCAATCCTCTTTTTGAAAATCTAATTCCATAATGTTAGTTTAAAAAATAAAATAAGTCTGTCTGTAAAATGAAATGAATCGGGGTCGTGAAATAGGGTCTCTTGTCTTAATCCTTTAAACCCTAAGATCAAAATTTGAATTCTCATTTGTCGCCCTATTCATTTCCTAAAGAGGTAGTAGGGAGAAGTTGATAAAATATCAAGCAAATTTATCTTGTGTGTCTGTAATTCTCATGACCACTCTGTTTTACAAAGCATTGATATTACAAGGAGAAATTTGATGCTGATCTCTCTCTCTCTTAGGGCTTAATGGGTTAAACAAGGTAGTGAAATGAATAATTTTGTCTAAAAGGGTCAGGGTTTAAAGGCAGCACTAGCCTGCATGGCAGGTGTTAAAAGGGGAAATTTGGGCGCACGAGAGTGCGCCTGGAGAGCCTGGAGAGGGAGAAAGGAAAAGATTGCCTTTCCTTTCTCTATCTCCAGGCTTTCCCTCTCCCTTTCTCCAGGCTATGGCAGCACCCTCTACCCAAACTTCCTATGAGTCTTGGTCCATGCCAAGACCCCGTCATTGGACTGGATCCATCTTCATCAAGTGATGAGAATGGGTCTTTGCTTTTTTTTATTGCCATTAGGGTTTTTAAAGAGTTTTCCCCTGATAATGCACAGGTCTTCTTTAGCTTTACTCTTGTCAAATAGTAATAATTACTAGACTTCAGCAAAGAACAAGGCCATTGATAACTAGCATATACAACTATCAACAACCTTGTTCTTTGTTGGGGTCTTATCCAAAGAAACAGTAATCGCATTGGGACATTTTTGGTCTCAGTACAGCTCTTTTTCCTCAAGCTACAATAGTGTCCCATTTGAATCCCCCTTGCAATGTGGATCAGTTCAGTGGTGGATCCAGGGAAGGGGCC